ATTACTAATTGCTTAGATGTGTCATCTGTTATTTTTGATGAATAAAATCTCATTGTCCATAGCCACGGGAAGCAGAGATGCAGCTCCCTCTGGTGGGTAAACTGAAGAAGATCCCTAATTACAGCCTGGATTTCTACTTTGATTTATAATAAAACAAAACCATGATGATTCATTCATAAATGAAGAAGCCACATGTGTTCATTCTAAACTCTCAGACTTCAAACACCCTAATGTAGAGAGGGCTGGGACTTTAATTAAAGGGATTCTGCAGTAATTTAGTATTGCACTTTGAAAACGTTGGACCTGTAGAGACACATTACAATGAAAAAAATAAATAAATAAATAAAAATAAAAACGAAATTAACTAAATTATGTAGCCTCTACTCTGGTCACGCCATAGTTTTCTTCTGTATGGAATCTCAACGCCTTTTCTAATGTGTCAGCCTAATCAGTTTACATCTGTTTAAAATATTTAGAAGAAAAAGATCTTCTGTGCATTATTGAGCCACGTTGTCATAAGTACTGAGCGTTAAAGCTACAACAGAAAATCTAGAAAACAAATTAGCTTATACATTTTTTCCCCATGCCTTTTAACAATGTTTTAAAGTGACAGTGTGTAGTTTCCCTGGCGATAGGGGACAGTAGATACCTTAATAACTGCAAGCAAGCATTATTTCTGTGTTCAAATAAGACCTTACCAACAGATGTCCATTAGGGTCAAAAATCCGTGGGAGCACAACCTCCAGCCAAAAAGCAAGAACATCAGACTCCCTTTCATCACTGGCAGCGAGTGAAGAGGTAAATGTGTAAAACATTAATGTTTATTAATGGTGAAAGTTTTGTAACTTAGTAATACAGGAAATGCATTTTGTCCTCACAGACTTCCATAGAAGGAAACATGGCGTCCAATATGGTGTCGACCAGAGACAGAGGATGCTTCTCAATGCCAAGGAACTTTGCCTTGATGTCTTGACCCTGCCCCGGTTGCCTAGGAGATACGTCATCAGGAGCCACCAAGACGTGTTCCAATGTTCATGTTCTACTGAGGCATGTGTTCTCCGTTTTTTAGCCGTTTAGCTAGCTGAACGAATATGCACGGGAGGTGTCTTGTAGCCTAGCCTTGGTCAAAAATTACCCAGAATACACTGCAGTATTTTCAAAAGGATGGCGGATCAGAAGCCAGCAGCTACTTCAGGGACAATTTTCAAGTTTAAAAGTAAGTCAGCTAATTTTAAATGTTTTTTTTTTAGATACAACAAAGTTATCTATGGTTGGTTAGTTGCTTAGTAGTTGCAGCTTCGGTGGCTAGCAGGTAGTAACTCACTTATATTTTAAATTTAATAAACATAGACACATTTTAAAAAGTAAAAGTCTCATTATATATTTATATTGAAACTAATACGCATAAGATATATAGTTGTCTCCTGTGTCACGTGACGTTACGTGGCCGCCGTGGAAGCCGCGGTCACGTGATGCAAATCTGTTCCATTTAACCGTTTTCTTTAGAGCTGAAACAACTAATCGATTTAATCAATTATAATCGATTATTAAAATAGTTATCAACTTTTTTAGTCATCGATTAGTTGTTTAATAATCACATTTTACCGCATGAAGTCTATTTTTACCACAATCTGACATTGGTTACAATCTGTTCAATTTGCCGCCAGTGTGTGGCAGTAATGAGCCACTGATCTACCAGTGGAGCCGTAGAAGAAGAAACGAGCCAATTAGTGCCCTCGGTTTTCATGACATAACACGTTACTGACACGCATCTTGATGTGAGAGATGGCGGAACAAGAAGAAATATGGAAGAAAAATAGAAGCGACAATACTGAAGAGAAACCCTGGACAAAAACCTCACGAGTATGGGAGCACTTCACTCTAGATGCCATGAAAAGACGGGTGACCTGCAAAATATGCAAAAACCATCTAGCATGGCACGGAAGCACGACGTCCCTAAGTGAGCATTTGAGACGAAAACAAGTGGGGGCAAATGAAGCAGAGGAAGCGCCAGCCCGGTAAGTAACAGAAAATAAACAAGCTAATTATAGTGGTCCATCACTACATGCCGATCGAATTTGGGACTTAGTGTTTTAGCTGAGTTCGTTATAGTGGATGTTGAAGATGTTTTTTTTTTTGCCGCGTCAGTCTACGGTGTTCTACTTCTGATTGACTGAATGCAATCGTGAATCTCCGTGTTGTGAATCATGCACTTGCCAAATTTAGCACGTCTGTTTATAAGAATGTTCTCGTTAAGAGAAAAACGGCACAAACCCATAACTATGTTCCTCATTCAAAAAAGGACAACTCCGCGGAGAAAAATATACAGACGAGCTGTGTCCAGGTGAATATAACGCGGCATAGTTGTACGCTTTCAATTTTTAAACAGGAGAAATTCAGAAAGTCTTTTTTTTTTACTATTAAAAGGCTGTTTTACTATCTAACGCTGTAAAACGCCTCACAACACATTTTTGCCAAAATAAATGATCACTGTATATTGTTAATTAATTCAAGTAATATAATATTGATTTAGTGTTGTAGTGTGTGTGCTGCTTTATTTTATATGTGTACTTATTTCAGTCTATTTGTGTTTCTCATGCAGAAAAAAAAACAAGCAACGATGGACAACTACATGGGGAACAAGACACTCACCCCCCAGCAATGCATACCACTTACAAACTCTATTCTAGATTCTACATTATTTTTTATGGAATTTACCTCTTATATTTTGATGCCAAAAAATTATTCTGGACTGATATTTTGCACTGTTTAGCTCATTTTACACTGCTGACTGTGTTCATGTGCAATAAAATAGATTGCAGTCAACTGCACAATTCTCCTGTTTTTCTTTTTCTTAACTGAAATGTATTCATCACTTGTATAGGTTAAATAGCCAAACAATAACAAACCGATTAATTGATTAATTGAAAAAATAATCGACAGATTAATTGATTATGAAAATAATCGTTAGTTGCAGCCCTAGTTTTATTTGACCAAGGAAGGACAGTGTCCTCGTAAGCAAGGAGCCTGGCCTTGCAAGACATCGCTTCACAAGGCCAGGCGCCTTGACATTGAGAAACACCCTTAGACCCGCTTCATGTATTTTGGAACAGATTTTTGTGGTTCTATGTTACGAAACAGCCAATATTTTTCAACAACTGGGCATCTTTAAAGTCATTTACAACAACAGTTCAATGGGTATTTCCAGAGATTAACGGAAAAAACTACACATTGTCACTTTAACACAGTACAGCTATAAAAACAGCTGCAAGCCACCAACTGGACCATTTGGTTGTCCGTCACACCGAACCGCCACACTTCCACTTGTGTCCTACATTCATAACGCACTCACGTATTTAGCAACAGAACACCACTGGTGTGAAAGGCTCTTCGCTCAATAATTTCAGAGAAGGAGAAACAGCCAGCTGCTACCACTTCATCTTTAGCACAAACTACAGAGTCCAAAAAGAAAAACACCATTTGAAGTCAGTCATGGACAATAAAATACTTTTGGACATAGAAAATGGCAACTGATGTTTAGCACTAACCTGTTTCATTTGCTATTTCAGTTTTAAGTGAGACCCAATAAACAGCATCCAACCATCCATCCATAGTAAGATGTTAAATACAGGCTATTCATTGTTAGTCTTTCAGATTTCAGAAAAACTCCAGAGAACATAGGGATGAAATAGTTTTTTGTTCCAAAATCAAAGCATTTTAGGAATGAACAGATAAATGAAATAACCTCAGGTGGTTTGTTCTTCAGAGTTTTCTAACACAATAGATGGATGGTGAAGGTACCAATAAAATGGACTGATGTAAAATGTAAAAATGTAAAAAAAAGGAAATAGGAGGTTTTTGCCTGTTTATCACTCTGCATTAATAACACCTGTGTGTGTTATTATGTGTAAATTAAAGATTTTATATAAAGTAAAGTTGATTTTTAAGTTGTTCTTTTAAATCAGTTATATAATGTAACAAGTAACATTTCTGTTCATATTTTCAAAAGCCATTAAACAGTTTTTATGAAACTAGGATGTAATTTCCAGATTATATGATGCCACATATACCTTCACTTCAAGCGTAATCATTCATAATAATAAACAAGATGCCAATTATAAACTTTTTGGGATAGAATGATTCTGAAAAAGAACATTTTGAAGAGTATATTGTTGCGAGCAATACTTTAAGCAAAAGAAACAACGTTTTTTTTTTACTAGATATACATTTTTGGCACCCCTCTTGGCTTTAAAGTTATGCCACTTTTGTCAAAGTGAATATTAATTTTTAAACAAAACAAAACATCAACACACACTGATTAAATCAATTTCATGTTGGCTTCAAGTAAAATATCATAATCCTAACCCATTGATCACTCATAGCTGCTTGTCTGCCTTGATATTTTTGGACAAATTCTGGCATCAACTACCCAAAAAAGGCCTGATGTTTTCTGTGCATTTAAGGAACATTTCTCAAAAAAACTGTTTACTTTAATTTCTAAAATAAATTTGCACTTTTCCCATTAATCTCAGCTCCTCCCACTCACTGATTTACCGTAAATCCTCTAATACAGGCCTGTATTCAATTCACTGCCGGGTCTCATATTTTGGCCGGTGTTGGAGTCGGCAGAGGTGAATAATGGCCGGTCTCTTATTGTGGCCGGGTGGAATGTGGTAACAAGCAAGTACGGGGGCGGTTGTGTCATCGTCTCACTTTTGATTTGCCAGTGATAGACCATGAGGGTAACTTTAACCGTGCGGAGACGAAGAGGAGGCGAAAATTTGATATCAAGTTCAAAGAGAACGTGTGCTGCAGAACACTGGGGAGCAATAGGGGTTGTATGAACTAGTCGACTTCACTATAGTGACATTTTATGCCTGTCATCGACTAGTCGCTGTCACGTGATAATGACCGGCAAGATGCAGCCCTCGGAAAAGACAGCAGCCTGCTGTCAGCAGGTGACAAGCTCCTACGCTTGTCCCCCCAACGGTGGGGGGGCAACGCGCTGTGCCAGAGCGTCGGTACTGTCACGCGATCGTTCATGTCGGTTCATTTCCTTTAATGTTTTCTGTCTTTTATTTGCGCCTGATGTGTTTCGCTGCTGTGGAGCGGGGTGCATCACCTTGTCCTCCGGTGACGCACCGATCACTGATGCGGCCACCAAGCAGCGAGCACTCCGCTATTTTTGCGGTCGGTAGATCTTTTAGAACTGCAGTTCAAAGGTAACTCATGAGGTGAATATAAATGAACCCAGGTAGCAGTTTCTCTTTAGGATTGAGAGGAGATGCAGGAAGATAATAAACAGGCAGGACAGAAAAACAGTCAAATAAAAACAAGTTAGTTTTTGTACCTGGTGGTTGCAACAAACAGACACCAGTGAAGGTAATCAGAAGTGAGGAACAGAAAATGAAATAATTATTTTAATATTTAGAGCAGCAGGAACTCCGAGAGGCTGCAGGAGCATCAGTGAGTTTGCGGCCGCTGCTCAGGGGGAGGGGGGAGAGGGCTGAAGCAGAAACTACCGTTGTTAAAAGAAATGTGTTTAACTTTGAAAATGTGTACGCAATTTTAATTGTCAAAAACTCCAGCGAACCATTAGTTCATTTTGCTCAAATAGAAATAGAGGCCTGCCTCTAATTCTGGCCCTCCTTCCAATAAAGGCCTGGTGCTTGATGAGCTTGAGTCAAATACAGGCCCGGGCCTGTATTAGAGGATTTACGGTATGCACGTTTTATCAGTTGTGATTCATGGATCTTTTAGCTTATCTGCATATTTTTAACATTTCCAATTCTAATTCATCCATTCATTTAAACCAAAACATAAACTTTGAGTTCATTTCAATATTATATTGCTTATTCAGGAATGTATGGACAAAGTCACTGCAGTTTTTAGCTGCAATTTGAAGCAAAACTTTTTGTTTCTGCAAAAATTAGTAGATTTCTGTACATAATAATAATACATAATAGTACATAATAATGTAAACTCTAATTTCCCTCTGGGATTAATAAAGTATTATTGAATTGAACTGAATTGAAATAAACAGTGCTGTATTCTGTCCTCGAACTCTTTATGAGAAACCATCTAATCCAAAACATCTTCCCGCGGCTATGTATGTAAGTAACACCTGATTGGCTGTCTGTCACCAGTAGGATTAAACAGGCAGCCAATCAGGTTCCGCTGCTCACGCTCGGCTGGTTGGCTTTCGTCCTCTCCAAAGTGTTCAGAGTGCGTGAAAGGTTAGTTTTCTGTCTGTCCAGGCTCAAAGTGTTCCGCGTTTGGACACTTATGTTCCCAGCACTTTGCTGGTTGGCTTGACTTCGCTCCAGACTAGCAGAAGTGCGTGATTGGACAATCCTTTCTCCCATCAAAGTAAGGATTCTTCCTCTGTCCAAACTGTTCACTGTGTTCAGCTGGCTGCTTCTGACTTGTCCTGTAGTCCCAGATCCAGTCTGCTGATTATTCAGGGTTTGCAGTTGGCTGGTTCTGTCTCTCTCAGGGAGTTTGGGCTGAGCGGAGCTACTTCTGTCTGTGCTGATTGTCTGTACCCTCGGTTTGTCGCGTTCCCTCTCCACACTCGTATCCCTGCGCACCAGTCCACTCCTCTCTCTCTCCAGGCTGCTCTGGATCTCAGCTCGTCTGGCCAGAGCTTCTCTCAGCTGGTTGCGGAACGTTTCGATCTTCACTTGCAGCTCCTGTAGCTCGCCCTCCCACAGGCTGGTCTGGGCCGCCCTGTTCCCCAGAGGGGAGAGCACCAAACCTGTGGATGCCAAAGTCGAGACAGGGCCACCGTTGGCGTGGAGGCTGATCTGTGGGGGGGAGGTGAAACCCCCCAGGGTTCCCAGTCCTAGCCCACCCAGGCCGAGCCCAGGACGACCGACCATTCCAGGTCGACCTCGCACCGATGCGGTGTGCGTGCGCAGGCGGTAGCTGTGAAGTGTTTCCAGGTCAAAGTGAACACGTTTCTCCTTGTGGTCATGCGAGGGCGAGGAGTTTCCAGTGTCTCCAGCTGTAGAGGATGCAGGAAGGGATATGGGGGGAGATGGGGGAGGAGGCTGGTGCTGTTTCCTGTGTAAGGTGCAGTTCTCAGAGATACAAGAGGAGGGGCTGGTAAAAGAAGGCCACAAAAACAACAGTCAGATATTAGTGCAACATAATAATAAAGAACATAATAAAAATTAAGCAAACTTAAACCATTATGGCACTGATGTGGTTGTTCCTCTTTAATAGTAAGGTTTGTTTATGAGATAAATGTTGAAATGATCAATTACTTAAGCTATGACTGAATAAAATGTATCAAAGCCAACATGTTTTTAGAGGAGAAAGAATTTTTTTCATTTAAATATGAAAATGTGATTTGATACCAAAGACATATTTTAATACTAATAAAACTTTTGTTTATCAGCTTTCTAGCAGAAACTTTCCTAAAATAAGAGTTATCAGCTTCCACCAAATAGATTCAACAGCAAACCAAAGAGGCGTTGGTTCTGCTGAAGGGCTCTCATCATTCTGACCACACGTGATGACAGTGGAGAAACTGCACTCTTAATTATTTAAAAGTGTAAATTCATAGTTTTGCTTTATTGATTATTGACATGATAAATCAAAAAAATTTAAGATTGCAAATAGAAAACACCCGGAAAGGGGTTCTGAGCCTGTAAAAGTGTTTTTCTCATTTATTAAAAACATTTGCAGTGTTGTAAATCAATGCCTTATGAGTCTTTAAAAAAAAAGCCATGACACTCCTGTTCTGAGATGCAGAAGTTTGCTGGTGCAGAGGTGGGCTGAAAACAGCAGGATTGCTCATTATTATAAATGATATACACACACCTTGCTTCTGATTCGCTAACCTGTTCAGCCATGCAAAGTCACTATCACCAAGACCTTCATATATTTATATGTCGATGACCAAGACACACACACTCTCTCTCTCTCCTCGCTGCAAAAATAGAACATTAAAGAAGCCCCCAATGGGCAGGCGCGAGCCAAGATGGGCGGAGTCTTGAATGCAAATTTGTCTATTTTTTGTCAGAAGCTAATGCAGGAGATAGATTTTAATGATCAGACTGCATGAAAAACTCAAGAGTGACCAATTATAATCAGAAATAATAATTAAAAAATGTTTTTTCAGTCAACCACACCTTTAAAATTGAAGTTTAAATGGTCTCTCAGTCTAAATTGATTTACTGAAATCTATTTTTGACTTTCAATTATTATTATACACCTATAATTAGGTGTTTTTATTAACATTTCTATTACTCACAGTCTAGTAACAGATTATCTATAAATGACAATGCTGTCAAAAATGACACTGGACCAGGCACACATCTGATCGAGGACCTTAATGTACTAACTCAGACTCCAGTGGGAAAGTGCTGAAACGGGGTGGTCTAGTCATCAAATAATAAAAGCAGCATGGAAGAAAATCCAGATCATTAAGAAGGAAAATTAAATATTTAACATTCTTAAAGCGCCTTATAGAGATGCTTCTGGCTAACAGAAAACAAAACATTTTCTTTAATTAATGTTTACCCTTTTAAATTTGGGAGCTGAGTTTCTGCTTTAGATTATTATTTGTATCTTTTTTCTTTAATTCAAGGTGGATGTGGCATTCCTGAACCTCATAATCTGAGCTGCTGGTTTTGTGTAAAAAGCAGCCATTTGTTAATGTACTTATTATGCGTTTTTGCACCTATATTGGTAAAATTTGATGTCTTAAAACTCTTAAAATGGATCTGTAGCATTTCATTTTCAGAACATGTGAGCAGGAGTGCGTGGTGTAAGAGAATGTCAGTGAGCTCATTACTTTTGGTCGATGCCGGTCAGCTCCTTCCCCACATCCTCATAGGCGGTGTTAAGAGCTCTGTGGATTTTCTGCAAGCAGAGAAGACGATCAGTAACAGGACATTTTGTTATGACTTCATCCAGCCTAAGGAAATCAGGGAAGCTGCATTTTAAAGAGCTAATATTCCTCTGCCCGGCTGCACAGGACATTTGTGACAGCAGTTTCTCGCAAAACAGCTCGAGAACTTCTTTGAATAATTCAAGAAAAGCCTACATTTAAACATTTAATTGAAGTTTGCAGGATCGGTTAAAGCCATTTTGATTAAAGTATCAAAGAGCTTCATTTAATCCGAACATCTCCAGAACAAGGTGTGACCATGTTTTAAATTTCACGGCGTGTGTGCATCTGGTAATCTTTGCACAGCAGCCTTTCATCACCCATCGGGATGACCAAGTGGGACTAAGTCAGACGGCGTGCTTTCACATGGCTGAGCTGGTTCGGTGATGAACGCTGGAGCCTGCCCCGGAGTGGCTGCCCTTTCAGAGAGATGTTGCAAACAAATGTGAACAGTCTTGATATTCAAACTGCTACTTCCATTATTCACCTCCGAAATTGCCAAAGGCATCTCATTTAATAATGGCTGGAGCTGCAGTAAAAAACAACAAATGACCTTTAAAATTGTACTTTGCTGTTATTTTCTTACATTCCAACTGCAGAAAGTGCTTCTGCAGAATGTACTAATGATTAAACTTTACATATTTAGTTTTAGAGGCTGGTGTGAAACACAGAAAATAAGAAAGTTATTGTAAAGGCTGTATGAGATTAGAAGAAATCATCAGTGTCAGATAAGAAAAAAAAATAAACCAACAAAGAATTAGTGATAATGGACCCGCTAATATGAAGCTGCCTGGAGAAAACGCTTAATTGAAGTTGTTTTAATTAACTTTACTAATTTATAGACAATATTAAAACTTAATTAGGTAATTAGCAAATGTCTTTGTTTACATTTATCAAAGTAATATAAAAAGGTCGAACTGTATTTGTCCTCTGTGTCATTACACTGAGTTTTAGGAAAAATCTCTCATTTTAGGTGTTGTTTTAAGTTTCCACCAGCAGAGGACAGTGATGATCTGTGGAGGGTGTTATTTTTTTTTTAAGTAGCAGCTGGAGAGCAGGAACCAGACACCATCGTTAAGATTACAACTGAGCATTTTTATAGATGTGTTATTATAATGTGTGTTTTACTCACCTGGCTGGTGTGCAGCCAGTACTGCAGTGTAGGCGAGCGTCGGAGGCGGGGGATGACCAGGTGATAGAAGGTGTGCTCACCTGCCAAGGTCAGCAGGGCTCCACCGACCCCCATGCACAGCAGCACAAAGAGGCCTGAAAAATGCTGGATCCCCATCTGTAAGGTCTGAGGAGGCGGTAGAAAGTGAGAGGAGGTAGAGAGATCGGTGAAGCGTTGTGATAAAAATACAAAGATTGATTATCTATGTTAAATAATCTCCATTGGGGTCACTTTGCGTGAGCATGCAGTTGATGTTCTGCTGCTGCAAAAGTGCTTTGGCTGTCAGCCCAGAGGTATAGTAATAAAAAGGCAAACAGTGTAAAATACGTTGGGGAGGAAGAGGAAGGAAGGAGGTGAGACATAAAAAAAAGTGAACAACAGTTAGCAGGAAGACGGTTAAAGGAGACAATTAGGAGAGCAGGTTGATTCTATTTGGTTTGCCCACATTCCCACTGACAAAACGTCTATGTCAGGATGCTTCCATGGTCCTGGAGGAGATGGGAGAGGCAGTGGGCAACCCTTCCCTGCTTGGTAATCACAGTTCCTCCACCTAACTCATTTCTGCTCTGCCTCTGATGGCAATTAGCCCCATGCTGACTGGACAAATTCATCAGCATCAACGGTGACCTCCTTTTGCACCCGATCTAGAGGGCAAATTTGCTCTAATGCTCACATTGTTTCACAGCAACCCCGCTCTCTAGGCTTTCAACAGTAACAATACGTTCCAGTTGCAGGGGGTGAAGTTAAGGCTGCCTAGTAATGTTTGTTACCGTATTCCAGCTTTGAAGTGGGATTTAAAAAAAAGATGGCCGAGGGAAGTTGAGAAGATTCTCCGACAATACAAGATTTCGACAGTTTCCCCCGTCTAGAGATTTCCACTTCCTTCAAAAGGGAAAGCAGGAACTCTGAGTACTCCTCCATCACACACACAAAAGACAAATAGGTATTGATGCTCAGACAGTTCGTACTTCAAACTGTGGTTAAGGTCAGCGAATAGACCAGAGTTTATGGGATTTTATGCTTTTGTGTGTATGTCTTTGTCCGTGTGTGTGCCCTTAGCTGGCAGCCAATCTTGTCTGAGTCCCAAAGGGAGACTCATTTCTAGAAGTACAGCTCAGAAGGGTTTGCTTTGCACACAATACACGTTCACAATGTGAACACTTCCACTGATGACTTACCTCGGTGACTGCAAAGACTCTCTTTCCGCAGGGTACGACCTTATACCATTTGTCATGTAGCATGTCCATGAAACCGTCAGACTTGTAGCGACTCACAAACTCTGACACGTTGCGGGTTAAAGGGGAGCCCTGTGGAAGGCCAATGCCATAGCCTGTAGGGAGACACAGATATAAATACACGTGCACTCTACCGAAGTGCTCAGAAGTTCAGCCATGCCCGAGGAAGAGATGGTCAAACTTGGAGCTTTTCTTGTATTTTACTTGTAGGAAAACAGTTAGCCGGTTGCAGTTAGCCAAAGGGCAGATGCCCCCTGGAAAAATGAGAGTTGGAGTTTGCAGCCTTCAGTTTGGATCAAAATACACCATGTTTCTTTTCTCTCTCTTGTGCATCAAGTATACAGTGCAAACATTTCAAAGCTTTGACTGGTCAGCATTTGTTTAAAGAAATGAACTGCAAACATTTCAGAATGATTTGAGATCTGGAGCTCAAATCTTTGTGATTACTTGAGAAGCATTTGGTAAACAAATCTAATGCACCGATAACGATCAGATCTGTGTTACCCTGTGGTCAGATTATATTGGAACAATAAAAGCATATTCACTAGGCGTCCTTCTTTTCCTGTGTCCAACAATGGAACTGTGAGGCTACATTAAATTATGTTGGAGGACATTAAATTAAATAATTTAATTTTGTGTCTTCTTGGTCTCCATGTTTGAGCCCAGTGAAGCGTTTTGGGCGCGTATCCCTTTATGAAACCCTGTGTGAGAGAGGGAAATGTAATGTCAGATTCTAATGTCCACTATCAGCATGGTCAACTTTAGGTTTAGAATGAAACTGTCTCACCACAGACAGGATGATGTACCAAGATTTAGTCGATCTGCTCCTTTTTCACCTTCCCCAGTCTTTAAAGAGGCATTTTTAGTTTACTTCAGTCTAAAGGTGATTAAAACAACCTGATCCTGATTCCTTCTATAGGAAACGTTTTACTGAACTGACCCGTATTGGAATGTTTACTTTGTGAGGTGCCTTGAGACAACTCTTGTCGTGATTTGGCGCTATATAAATAAACAGGATAGAATTGAAAATAAATGGTTAAATTCTACACCCCTTGATGCCCTGGAAATGCTACTGATGCTTTTAATGCTAGTTAATAGCACCAAATTCTATGCTAATACATGTAATGCAAAATTTATTGCAATTTATAAGTAACATTCACATGAGCATTTGGGCCTTTGCGGTGCTAGAACTACGCAGTTGTTCGCTTATCAGTCTTGTGGAATATAAACTTTAGGTTTGTAAACTGAGGACATTCATGCAGTGGTGGATCTAGGATTTTTCTGACTAGAACCCATCAAGAGGCCACAATATTTATAGAGAAGCCAAGTTATAGTCCAACATCCTGACTCCCAGTCTCAGCTGTTGGTAAGTTAGATACGTTTAACTGCCCCATGCCATGTTACAACACTTGGGGTGATGGTGGCACAGGAGTTAAGTGCTCGCCCCATAATCGGAAGGCTGCAGGTTCGAGCCCTGCTCAGTTTGTCACTGTCGTTGTGTCCTTGGGCAAGACCCTTAACCTGCCTTGCCTGCTAGTGGTGGTCGGAGGGACTGGTGGCGCCCGTGCTCGGCAGCCTCGTCTCTGTCAGTGCGTCCCAGGGCTGCACTGTAGCTCATCACCACCAGTGTGTGGATGTGTGTGTGAATGGGTGAATGACTGACTGTGTTGTAAAGTGCCTTGGGGGGGTTCTAGGACTCTAGAAGGCGCTATATCATATACAGGCCATTTACTTTAATGTAATTTTATATGCATTGTTACTGGACATGGACAAAACACAAACACATGCAGCATTTGAGAAATTTCAACACTTGTATTATTTTTTGTAGAGCAACCGTTTAAACCAGGGTTCTCCAACAGTGAGCTACTTTTACACAAAGTACAGGAAAGCTACCGCCATACGATTTATTCACATTGATACTTTCTGTGTGTTAATATGCTTGTGGTAAAAGTGCTACACTTACTATATTATCATGCATTGTATTCATAAGTTGCTTTCTCTGTGTTTCAATACATCAATATAGTAAAAAAATATAAGTTATAGGGAAATAACGACATTCCTGTTTTGAAACTCAAACAAAACAAAACTTTTTAAATTTTTATTAACTAATCAGATACTTTCCGATAATAACAAATCAATTTTATGTGAATTACTTTACCTTTTTTTTTTAGATTGGATCAGTAACATAACTTTTTGAGCACAGGAGCAGCTAACCTGGCCTAAGCAGCAATGTCAGTTTTTCATAGTGTTCAGCTATTTTGCCATAAATGAACAAATACTTCACAAAACAATCAAATGTCGTTTAAAGAACATTTAATGTTCTTTAGTGGTAGTTAATAAAAAACCTTTCAAGTAATTTTGTGTTATGATCATTTTTCCAAATGATGCAAAACAAATTTTCTCATAAAAAGAATAAAGCCAAAGATATTTTAAATAAGATATAAGTTAAATGTGATTAAAACACTACATTCTAAATAGTTTGAACTGAAGTGTAAAATGTAAAAATAGAAATGACATTTCTTCCTACTTTTCTGAGTAATTGAATCATTTTTATGGGTCTTTGCTCTTGAAAGTGAAGTTTTGCTTTACTAGTGAATAACTGCAGGTAAAATTATGTTTTGCTGCATTTTTTTGTTTACAATATTAAAATAAGGTTGGAGTTTCATCCATTATCTTAGAATCTTGTAGTTTTTATTCCTCCACGGGTCTGACGGCTGTGCGCAACACAGAGAAAGAGAGCAACAGGGCGTTCTCAATCGTGTTTTTTTTAACTAAATGAGACAATCAGCTGAAACTGTTTAGGATAATGTGTTGAAACTAAATTACAGGAGATGTCCAGAAAGTTTGTAAGCCTGTGTTCCTCCTGGGTTAATAAAGGAACAGCATTTTATTTGCATTAACGAGCTGTTACTGCAGATAGGACTTTACTGTCGCCCAGAATGTTTTACTGAGAATGCTTTTCTGATTCCAGGTCTGCATGACCGACGTCTTCATTCATCCCCGGTCCAGCTGCAGCCCCTGATCAAAGTTGACAGAAAAGCACGGGGATCCGTGCTGCAACCCGAGCAATTCATCTGCGTATTTCCACATGTTTGACTAAAGATTTGTGCCAAATATCAACATTTTTATTTGACTTCCACAAAATTAATTTTAGATAAGATTTACAGAAAACAGAAAGCTTGCCAACAGATAAAAAGCACTTTCCTCTTTAATTACAAGTCAGGCAGGATGGCTCGCTGTCTGCTTCCAGGCGAGCGGCTTTCAAGTCAATGTGTTAGGTCCCCTGGTTTAAAGTATTCTTGTGGGTGAAAAGATAGTCACCCAAATTCCTGCTTGGCTTGTTAGCGTCATTAGTGTCTGGACATGGAGTTGCATACACCTATAAACTGATCATAGGACAGATGAGGGGGCCTTTCAGATTTCAGTGGGGCCAATGCCCCTGTAGCCTCACCCTTAGAACCGCCAATGCAAAGCCATAAAACTTAACATATAGTAATTATCACGATTAAAATGTAACACACTTCTCAATGGCTGAAAAGTAGTGATGCTTAACTAGCAAATATTATTTTTGTTTCATGTGAGCTTTGTTAGTACTTATTATTCTCTCTGTAAGTGGTCTAAGTATGAAAAGTTAACTTCATAATTTTTTTTCCAGATCATTCCTGTAGTTTATGACACTTCAAAGTGAATACCAAATTAATCCAGTCATAAAATCTGTTTTGTTTCCAAATTAACAAGTTAAATGAAAAAAAAAAAGAATAAATAAATAAAAAACTCAGAAAGCATCAGACATAACGGCGCCTCCAACCATTAACCTGACCTGACCTCATCAGCTGGGCCGCCACTTGCCAAGCACGTATTGTAGTCCATGACTCATGGGCTCACTTCATCCCCAACCCCTGCAGTTACAGATGCAGGACTGAGTTTTGTAAAAAGGCCAAACAAAGGCCAGTTTCACTCCATATGCAAAAGAATATTTGCTAACATAATAGCTTGTTCATTGATTTTTTTCTCTTGAAAATAATGTTCTATTGAAAAGATCCAAGAGCAGCTTTCTCCATTAAATATCAAACACATAGCTCCATTAGACTGTGTAACTTTGCAGCCTTTTAACAGTCCACCTATTATTAAAGTATGTACAATAAGAGATCATTGTAAATGTAAATGTGTACAAATTGTACTCCTGTCAGTAGTTCCTGTACTACAGCGTGACCACCACATACCATCTCCTGTACTCTCTCCCGATAGCATAAAATATTTAGGTGTTTGGCTGGAACCTCAGTCGTCTTTCAAATACCATATTCCACATATGTCAGACACAAGGCCCGCGGGCCGCATGTGGCCCGCGGAGCATTTTTCTGTGGCCCGCGAGATAAATATCAAAAATATATTAAAACTGGCCCGCTGGCCGATTTTACCGCAAAGACTTCAACTCCCATGATGCTTTGCGGCGTCAGCGCGGAGCCGACGCGCCCCCTCCTTTGTGTTTTTTCCAGCGCCTGCTGCCGGTGTCTGCAGCTCCGCTGTCTCGGACAAACTAAACACTCCTCTCACTCAGCGCCGAGTTCACTCAGCTATTTTCTGACGTCGAAGCCCAGAAACGGAGATTCTAGCCGCTCAGTAATGTGTTCACGACTGAAAGAGAAAGTTTTCCAACTAACGTCCAGACAGAGCTGATATAACTCCAGCGAGCAGCGACACGCTCAAACCAGCATGACTCTGCGGCTGCTGTCGTTGTGTTTCCTCCCCGACACACAACAACGTGGTCAAGCTGCTCAGGCATGTTCACCAGCACAAACCTATGTGAGCACCTGTTGTCATCTAATGTCGTCATTATTATGATGAAGATGAACAAAACAACAGGAGTCTCCTCCTCAGCTCAGATCAACCCCATGATGCAGGTATCTGGCTGGAACAGGTGAGCATCACAGTAAACCAGTGGAGCAAACTGAGCTTTAAATATGTTGGTTTTATGCTCTTTTTCTGCTCCAAAACATGAAAGTTAACAGGTGAGATGTTGCATTTTCATTTAAGATAAAATGATATTTTTATTTTGTTGTTGGCACGTGAGAAAAGATTTAACCTACAGTAAAAC